CTGTAATGGCCAGAGCTGAGCTAATCCAGAGTCAGGAGCTTCTTCTTCTGGGTCTCCCACGTGGGTGCAGGGGCCCAAGGACTTGGACCATCTTCTACTGCTTTCCCAGGCCATAGCAGAGAGCTAGATTGGAAGTGGAGCAGCAGGGACTCGAACTGGTGCCCATATGGGATGCTGGCACTGCAGCGCTGGCCCCTGTGGTTGTTATTAAGAAGTATCTTTATTCTTACTAATATACACTGAAATATTTAAGTATAAAGGGACAGGGCCAGCGCTGTGGCACAGCAGGTAATGCTGCCTCCTGCAGTGCCGGCATCCCATATGAGTTCCAGTTCAAGTCCTGGTTGCTCCTCTTCCGATCCAGCTCTCTGCTATGGCCTGGGAAAACAATGAAAGAGGGCCCAAGTCCTAGGGCCCCTGTACCCACGTGGGAGACCCAGAAGAAGAAGCTCCTGGCTCCTGACTTTGGATCAGCTCAGCTCTGTCTGTTGCAGCCTTTGGGGAGTAAACCAGCGGATAGAAGATTCTCATTCTCTCTCTCTCTCTCTGCCTCTGCCTCTGCCTCTCTAATAAATAAATAAACCTTAAAAAAAAAAGAATAAAGGGATATGATTTACAAGTATATAACCTGCATCTTAATGGTTCTGGGAGAGGGAAACAGTCAGATATATGCATATGTATGTAATGTTTAGAGAGAATATACAGATGCGAATAATAAAACAAATGGGTAACTGGTAAATTCTAGTAAAGGATATGTGTGGAAAGTTTATATTTTTTAAAGTTTGAAAAGTTTGAAGTTGTCTTCAAATAGAAGGTTGTTTTAACTATCTTTCCTCACAATTCTCTACTATTCATTGTATGGATATACCTTTTTTTTTTTTTGGACAGGCAGAGTTAGTGAGAGACAGAGAGAAAGGTCTTCCTTCTGTTGGTTCACCCCCCAAATGGCTGCTATGGCCGGCGCACTGCGCTGATCCGAAGCCAGGAGCCAGGTGCTTCCTCCTGGTCTCCCATGCGGGTGTAGGGCCCATGTACTTGGGCCACAGCAGAGAGCTGGACTTGGAAGAGGAGCAACCGGGACAGAACCGGTGCCCCAACTGGGACTAGAACCCCCTGTGCCGGCGCCGCAGGTGGAGGATTAGCCTAGTGAGCCGCGCCGCCAGCCTGGATATACCCTTTTTTTTTTTTTTAAAAAAAAAAGATTTATTTATTTATTTGAAAGTCAGAGTTACACAGAGAGAGAAGGAGAGGCAGAGAGAGAGGTCTTCCGTCTGCTGGTTCAGTCCTTGGATGGCCACAATGGCCGGAGCTGTGCCCATCTGAAGCCAGGAGCCAGGAGCTTCTTCTGGGTCCCCCAGGAGGGTGCAGGGGCCCAAGGACTTGGGCCATCTTCTACTGCTTTCCCAGGCCACAGCAGAGAGCTGGATCAGTAATGGAGCACTGCTGGCAGTGGCTTTACCCGCTATACCACAGTGCTGATCTCGGATATACCTTCATTAATTTAAGCAGCCCTCATTAATGGGTACTGAAGTTGTTTCTAAACTTTTGCTATTACAAAACAATTATTCAGTGAATAATCTAGTACAGTGTTGTACATAGGTGAGAAGTGATCCATAGGATAAATTCTAGAGAAGAACCACTGGATCAAAGGGTGTAATGTTTTTGATTTGGATAGATATAATAGCATTTAAAATTGAAAGTTGTGGGAGTGGGCATTTGGCCTAGTGGTTAAGCTGCAGGTTTGAATGCCTTTGTTCCATGTTTGGAATGCCTTGGTTCAGTTCCTATCTCTGGCTCCTGACTTCAGCTTCCTGGTAATACAGACCCTGGGGAGCAACTGTGATGGCTCAAGTAGTTGGGTTTTGCCACCCATGTGGGACACCTGGATTGAGTTCCTGGCTCCTGGCTTTGAACCTGGCCTAGCTCTGGCTGTTTTGGAAATTTGGGAAGTAAACTAACAGAAGGGAGCTTTCTCTCTTTCTGTCTCTCTGCCTCTTGAATAAATAAAATTTAAAAAGTTTTTAGGGACAGGTGTTTCACCTATCAGTTAAAGCTTTAGCAGGAATGCCCACATCCCATTTCAAGTGCCTGAGTTCAAGTCTTTGCTGAACTCTGAACTCTAGCTTCCTTTTGATGGGCACCTCAGGAGGCAACAGGTGATGGGATCCCTGTCACCCCTATAGAAGGCCTGGACTGAGTTCCTTGCTCCCAGATTTTACCTGGCCCAGCCCTGGCTGATGTGCATATTAGAGACTGAACCAGCAAATGAGAACTCTTTTTATGTCTCTCTTGCTTTGTCTCCCTGCCTGTCAAACAAAAAGAAGATAAATATTGAGACCTTACCCCTCCACATGCCCCTGAAATTCATAACCAAAAAAATGTTTTAAAATTCTGATACATGTGTGGTGCAGCAGTTGGGTTGCCGTTTGGGATTCCTGCATCTCATGTTACAGTGCTTGGTTTGAGTCCCAGCTAACCCACTTTCCATCCAGCTTTCTGCTGTTACACACCCTGGGAGGCAGTAAATGACGACTCAAGTGGTTGAGTCCCTGCCATCCATGTTGGAGACCCGGATGGAGTTGTAGCTCTTTGCTTTGGCCTGGCCCAGCCCTTGCTATTGCAGGCATTTGGTGAATGAACCAGCAAATGCAAGATCACTCTCCATCTGTCTCTGCCTTCCAAATTAAAAAAAAAAAATTTTTTTTTGATGGCTATTGACTGTTAATCCTTGAAGAAAGGGAGTTTGTTGTGACTTCTACCTTTCTGAACAAATTTATCACTTTGTCTTTATAGTGTACATATGAAGATTGAAGAAAAGATCACACTAACCTGTGGACGAGATGGAGGATTACAGAATATGGAGTTGCATGGAATGATCATGCTTAGGATCTCAGATGACAAATTTGGCCGAATTCGTCTTCATGTAGAAAATGAAGATAAGAGAGGGGTACAACTGCAGGTGAAAGACCTAGCACAGTCTCAACTAGCATTCCTTATATTTACCACAGAACACATAAAATTATTTGTGTGATGTAACTGGTGCCATTCTGCCGCCCACTTGGGAGACTCAGATGAAGTCTGGCCCAGCCCTGGCCATCTCAGCCATTGGGGGAGTGAATTAGTGGATAGACGATCCCTCTCCCTCTCCCTCTCCCTCTCCCTCCCCCTCCCCCTCCCCCTCCCCCTCCCCCTCCCCCTCCCTCTCCCTCCCTGCCTTTCAAATAAATTAATAAATTTAAGATAAAAAGTTGGAGTAGGTGCTGTGGTGCAGCAAATTAAACCATCACTTGGGATGTCTGTATCTGATTTCAGTGTGCCTGATTCAAGTCATGGTTACTGTGTGCCTTTTTTTTTTTTTTTTGACAGGCAGAGTGGATAGTGAGAGACAGAAAGGTCTTCCTTTTGCCGTTGGTTCACCCTCCAATGGCTGCCACTGCTGGCACGCTGCAGCCGGCGCACCGCGCTGATCCGAAGGCAGGAGCCAGGTGCTTCTCCTGGTCTCCCATGGGGTGCAGGGCCCAAGCACTTGGGCCATCCTCTACTGCCTTCCCAGGCCACAGCAGAGAGCTGGCCTGGAAGAGGGGCAACCGAGAAAGAATCCGGCGCCCCAACCAGGACTAGAACCCAGTGTGCCGGCGCCGCAAGGCAGAGGATTAGCCTAGTAAGCTGCGGCACCGGACTACTGTGTGCTTGATTGAACTTCCTGCTAATGTACCTGGGAGGCAGCAGGTACTGCCCCAGGTACTAGGGTCCCTGCCACCTGGATGGAGTTCCTGGCTCCTGGCTTTGGCCTGGCCCAACTCTAGCTGTTGCAGTCTCCAAGCAGCATTTTTTTTTTTTCAATTTAATTTTAGTGCACGGAGGCCAGGACAGGGGTGCGGGCGCCAGGTCTGCCCATCTCCCCCCGCCCCCCGCCCCTTGCCCCCAGGAGCCCACGTGATGGGGGAAGGTGGAGCCAGGGCCTGGTCCCACAGTTCTGGCAACAAGGCCTCAGCCCGGGGCGACCCTGACAGCAGGGCGAGCTGGGCCTGGCGCTGGGGTGGGGACACACAGGCTCCCAGCTCCCCAGCCTGCCTGGGGCCCGGCCCCACGGGCGCCCCGTCTGCACCCGAGGCTCAGCGCCGGGCCCGTGCAGGCTGCAGCTTGGGGACACGGCTGGGAAGCGCCAGGCACCAGGAAGGGGGCCTGTGCGGTGCTTGGAGCCCACCCTGTCGGCTTCAGATGTCGAGCGCCCAGCCTGGCTGGCCCAGAGCCGAGGGTGGACACGGCTGGAGGGACAGTCCCACATGTGGAGCCAAAGTCCAGGGTCCCCTGGAAGCCAGGGCTCCAAAGACCCCCAAGACAGGGGTCAGCATGCTGGTGCCTGTGGGAGCCACAGCCTGACTCCTGCTGACGCCCCTGAAGCCACAGCCATGCCCCCCCACCCCACCCCGGGCCTGGAGGCCACCCTGCCCCCACCCCGCCCCGCTCTTCTCCCCGGCGCTTCTATCTTCTTTTCTTCTTCTTCTTCTTCTTCTTCTTCTTCTTCTTCTTCTTCTTCTTCTTCTTCTTCTTCTTCTTCTTCTTCTTCTTCTTCTTCTTTTAAGATTTATTTATTTATTTGAAAGAGTTACACAGAGAGAAGAGAGGAAGAAAGAGAGAGGTCCTCCATCCGCTGGTCCACTCCACTCCCCAGTTGGCCACAATGGCCAGAGCTGTGCTGATCCGAAGCCAGGAGCCAGATGCCTCCTCTGGGTCTCCCATGAGGGTATAGGGGTCCAAAAACCTGGGCCATCCTCTACTGCTTTCCCAGGCCATAGCAGAGAGCTGGATTGGAAGCGGAGCAGCCAGGTCTCCAACCAGTGCCCATATGGGATGCCGGTGCTTCAGGCCAGGGCCTTAACCTGCTGCGCCACAGCGCTGGCCCCCCAACCAGCGTTTTAACTGCTGTCCCCAGAGTTTGTTTCCTGTCTACTGTGTCTGAACCTCAGTTTGCCTTGTCATTCCAGACCCATCCGAATGTGGATAAAAAACTTTTCACTGCAGAGTCTCTAATTGGCTTGAAGAATCCGGAGAAGTCATTTCCAGTCAACAGTGATGTAGGGGTGCTAAAGTGGAGACTACAAACCACAGAAGAATCTTTTATTCCACTGACAAGTAAGCGCCTCTGGCCTGTTTGACTAAGCTACTCTGCACTGAGATCTAAAAAAAGCTCTGGCTTATACCCTCTTATCTTCATTGCCATAGTGAAGTTCTTTTTGACAAAATGATCTTTTATCAAAATCAAAAGAATTGGGATCTCATTAGGTAGGGGCAGGCATTGTGGCATAGCAGGTAAAGCCGCCATCCGTGTCACCAGCATCCCGTATGGTTCATGTCCCAGCTGCTCTACTTCCATCAACCCAACTCCCTGCTAATGGCCTAGGATATGACCTAAGGGTTTGGGCCCCTGCCACCCATGTGGGAGAGCTCCTGGCTTCAGCCTGGCTCAGTGCTGGCCATTGCAGCTATCAGGGAAGTGAACCAGAGATTGGAAGATATCTCTCTCTCCTGCTCTCTGTAATTCTGACTTTGAAAATAAATGATGAAATTCAGTACCCTATTTTAAGTTTAGATTGTGGGCCATGGAAGCCTTGAAGGATTTTGAAAATGGATTTGGTGTTTAATCATAGTCTCTAATTTTTAATTTTAGAACTTGTTTTAAATATAATTTACATGAAAATTTTGTAGATGTGAGCCTGTCGATAAGATTTCATTTGCTTTCTTTTCTATACTCTTTGTAATAATTATGGAATGATGGCTTTGCTTTTCTCCTCAGCTAATTGCTGGCCTTCAGAAAGTGGAAGTGGCTGTGATGTCAATATAGAATATGAACTACAAGAAGATAATTTAGAACTGAATGACGTGGTTATCACCATCCCACTTCCGTAAGTGGTGTCTTCAGTGTAGTTGTGTTCCCTACAGTGGGCTTACAGAACTGGTTTTGAAACTCCTTTTGCCTCTTAAAAATGCCAATTGTGAAAGAAGGCAGACGCAAAAGGCTACCCACTATGTGATTCTCTCCCTATGACTAACAGAAGTCAGGTGGTAGAGAGGAAGGTACTTGATTGCCACAGGACGCAGGGATGATGGAAATGTTTTATGACTTGATTTTGATAATGTCTGCAAGACTGCACACCCTAGTGAAAATGCATTGGGCTGTACACTTTGGAAAGGGTAAGTTTTTATTGACTTTCAAGCCAAACCAAAAAGCCTATTTTTTTTTTTTTAAACAGGCAGAGTGGACAGTGAGAGAGAGAGACAGAGAGAAAAGTCTTCCTTTTGCCGTTGGTTCACCCTCCAGTGGCCACCGTGGCTGGCGCGCTGTGGCCGGTGCACCGCGCTGATCCAAAGGCAGGAGCCAGGTGCTTCTCCTGGTCTCCCATGGGGTGCAGGGCCCAAGCACTTGGGCCATCCTCCACTGCACTCCCGGGCCACAGCAGAGAGCTGGCCTGGAAGAGGGGCATCCGGGACAGAATCCGGCGCCCTGACCAGGACTAGAACCCGGTGTGCCGGTGCTGCAAGGCAGAGGATTAGCCTAGTGAGCAGTGGCGCTGGCCCCAAAAAGCCTATTGTAAGTTCTGCATCTCTGTTTTCAGATTGTGGTCCTCAGCATGTTTGTGTAGTAATGAAGATGTCCAGAAGGAGGAGCCACTTGTCAGTCAAACTTGCTCTATTTTGTTGAGCAACTTTCAGAGAAATGAAGTCTGTTAGATTGAATTTCCCTTTTTAGTTATTCTGTAAACTTTCACTAAAGATGAGCGTATGTGGTTAAGGGAACTGTTGATTCTTACGGGAACAAGATATTTACATTTGTTTCAGTAAATTTCCTAACAGCTTTATTGAAGTATAATTGACAGAGTAAACAACACAAATTGTATCTTGGTAAGTATTGACATACATAGATCTGTAAAACCATCAGTACAATCATGCTAACAAAAATGTCTATCATCCTAAAAAATGTAGTGCCATAAGTTCTGTTGTACACGTAACTGGCCTGCTGTCTAGGATCACAGGGAATCTCCCTGTGTTGGGTTTATCTGCTCAGTACTGTTTCCAGTAAGTGTACACTGTTCATCAGTGAGTTCCCAGCTCCACTCATCATCTCCCAGCCCCCACAAGATTGAGCAGTTGTGGGTACCTGCAAGTGTACTCTTAGTGCACCTTTACTGTCACATTGCTCTGCAGAAAAAAATTATGTTGCAGGACCAAAAAGGGTAATAATTTAATTTGTAGTTTTGTTCCCTTGAAATTTAAGAAGTTTTTTTTTTTTTTTTTAAGATTTAATTATTTGGTGCCGGTGCTGTGGCATAGTAGGCTAAGCCTTTACCTATGGCACCGACATCCCATATGGGCATCAGTTTGAGTCCAGATGCTCCTTTTCCGAATCAGCTCTCTACTATTGCCTGGGGAAGCAGTATACGATAGCCCAGGTGTGTGGGCCCCTGAACCCGTGTGGGAGACCTGGAAGAAGCACCTGGCTTCTGGCTTCGGGTCACCTCAGCTTTGGCTGTTGGTGGCCATTTAGGGAGTAAACCAGTGGATGGAAAACCATTCTCTCTGTCTCTTCCTCTCTCTGTCTATGTAACTCTGCCTCTCAAATAAATAAAGGGCCAGCACCGTGGCATAGTGGGTAAAGCCGCTGCTTGCACTGCCAGCATCCCGTATGGGCATGGGTTCGAGACCCGGCTGCTCCACTTCTGATCCAGCTCTCTGCTATGGCCTGGGAAAGCAGTGGAGGATGGCCCAAGTGCTTGGGCCCCTGTACCTGCATGGGAGACCCGGAAGAAGCTGGCTCCAACCATTGCAGCCATTTGGGGAGTAAACCAGTGGATGGAAGACTTCTCTATATCTCTTCCTCCGCCTCTTTTTAACTCTACCTTTCAAATAAATAAGTATTTAAAAATAAATAAATACATAAAATATTTTTTTAAAACGGGATTTGATTATTTGAGGGCATGCACTGTGGCACAGGGGGTTAAGATGCCATCTGCAGTGCCAGCATCCTATACGGGCACCAGTTTGAGTCCCAGCTGCTCCAGTTCCAATCTAGCTCCCTGCTAGTGGCCTGGGAGAGCAGTGTAGGATGGCCCGTGTCCTTGGCCCCCTGCCCACGTGACAGATCCAGAAGAAGCTTCTGGTTCCTGGTTTTGGCCTGGCTGAGCCTCAACCATTGCAGCCATTTGAAAGTGAACTAGCAGATAGAGAATATCTCTCTATGTCCCTCCCTCTCTATAAAAATTAAAAAATGAAAGATTTCATTATTTGAAAAGCAGAATGACAGAGAGGAAAAAACAGAGAAAGAGATTTCCATCCACTGGTTCACTCCCAAATGGCCACAAAGGAAGCCAGGAACCTGGAACTCTTCCAGATCTCCCTTGTGAGCTGGCAGGAGGCCAGGTACCTGGGTCATCTTCCACTATCTTCCCAGGTGCATTAGCATGATATTGGATTGGAAGCAGAGTAGCCAGGACTCAGACTGGCACTGTGATAAGCAGTGACTTACCCCACCATGCCACAACGCTGGACCCTTAAATTTCAAAAATAATTAATCTGAAAGCAGAGTGACTAAGAGTGAGGGACAGACCTTCCATCTATAGGTTCACTCCCCAAATGCCCGCAATAGCCACAGCTGGGCCAGGCCCAAGCCAGGAACCAACAACTCCATCCGGGTCTCCCACATGAATGGCAGGGGCCCAAGTACTTGTGCCATCTTCTGCTGCCTCCCAGGGGTAATAGCAGGAAACTGGATTGAAGCAGAGTATCTGAGACTGGATCCCAAGAACTTCATGAGATGTGGGTGTCCCAAGCAGTGGCTTGACCTGCTGTACAAGATGTCTGCCCCTTTCTTCCCTTTTTAATAATTCAAGGCTTTACATTGTCAGATCTGGTTTTAGTCACTGTTACTTCTGTTTTTTTTTTTTGTTTTTTTGTTTTTTTTTTTGACAGGCAGAGTGGACAGTGAGAGAGAGAGACAGAGAGAAAGGTCTTCCTTTTGCCGTTGGTTCACCCTCCAATGGCCGCCGCTACAGCCGGCGCACCGCGCTGATCCGATGGCAGGAGCCAGGATCCAGGTGCTTTTCCTGGTCTCCCATGGGGTGCAGGGCCCAAGCACCTGGGCCATCCTCCACTGCACTCCCTGGCCATAGCAGAGAGCTGGCCTGGAAGAGGGGCAACCGGGACAGAATCCGGCGCCCTGACCGGGACTAGAACCCGGTGTGCCGGCGCCGCAAGGTGGAGGATTAGCCTATTGAGCCACGGCGCCGGCCTTGTTACTTCTGTTTTTAAAAATGTGCTTTATTACTAGTTTTCCTTTCTTTTTTTTAAAGATTTTATTTATTTGAGAGGTAGAGTTACAGACAGAGGGAGGGAGAGACAGAGAGAAAGGTCTTCCATCCACTGGCTCACTCCCCAAATGGCCGCAACGGCCGGAGCTGAGCCACCCCAAGCCAGGAGCCAACAGCTTCCTCCGGGTCTCTCACATGAGGGCAGGGGCCCAAGTACTTGTGCCATCTTCTCTTTCCTAGGCCATAGCAGAGAGCTGGATCAGAAGAAGAGCAGCCAGGACATGAACTGGTGCCCATATGGGATTCTGGCAGGCAGAGGCCTAACCTCCTGTGCCACAGCGCTGCCCCCTTTTTGTTTTAATAAGCACATTTATTTATTTGTGTGAAAGGCAGAGTTACACACAGAGAGAGATATCTGCCGTTCAGGGATTCACACGCCAAATGGCCACAATGGCCAGAGCTGGGCCAATCCAGAGCCAGGAACCAGGAGCTTCTTCTGGGTCTTGCACTTGGGGGCATCTTCCAATGCTTTTCCAATGCTTTTCCAGGCGTATTAGCAGGGAATTGCATCAGAAGTGGTGCAGCCAGGACTTGAACTGGGCCCATATGGAATTCTGGCGCTGTAGGCAATAGCTTCACCCACATATGCCACAGCACTGGCTCCACCAGTTTTCCTTTAATGGAGTAACCATCTTAGTCTGCACAGCTCAGTTGTTCTTTTGGAACAACAGAAGGCTGCATTGAACTATTGTAGGATTTGGGTGTTGGTGACAGGTGGGGTTTTGTTTGTCAAGATTTATTTTACCAGGCTATTTTTAGGATTCCACAATTTTTAGGCTTCTCCATCTACCCCATAATTGTGGTTATGGTGGTTTCCTGTGTCTTAGTTCAGTTTTGCAGTAGTCACCAGAAGAGACTGTAAGACGTTTACTGTTGTCTAAGACTGACGTATCAGAATGAGAAATTTGAGCAAGGACAGAAAGGACCATAAAAAAAAAGGACATTAAAATCTGTAAGGAAGAGTTAATATTCTTATGCCAACCTTAACGTTTTGTCTCCCTTATTTACTCTGCCCCTAAACAAGCATTGAGTGTCGCTAGTGAATTAAAAGTTGGTAAATTTAGAATGTGTAGGAGTAGGTGACACTGCCTCTCAGCCCCACGTGGGGGTGCAAAGTACATCTTAACTAGCCCTGGTTCTCTTGCAGATTGAGGACAACTTATGTATCTCTCTCCCGACATGTTTCTATTTTGCCCAGGGGTAATTAATTGTGCTTTCATTTACTGCAGTCCACTTACTAGATTGTAAATCACATAAGCCCACTGGCGTGGACTTCATTCAGTCAGTTTGAAAACATTTTAAAATCTTTTGAAAACACATCCTCTTAAAGACATAAATTGATCTTTATTGGTACTTAAGTTTTCCCTTAATATTATCAACCTGCTTTTTCTTCAACCATCTTTATGAAATGAACTGAATTTCTTAAAAAGGCGGCAAACTGTTAATGCAGGGTTTTTGGAAATATACCCCAGTTCACACATTTGTCAACCTCAGTCCCCTGCCAGCTCCCAGATCTAGTCTAAATTGGAACAACCCACAAGCATACCTGCTAAGTACCTGTGTTTGCCTGTATCTCCTGTCTACAAAGGGAATTGAGTGGAACCCTTAGTCAAAGTCCCAGGTCTTTGATCTTTGAAGTTATTAGGAAGCCTATTTTTTTCTAGAACTGCACAAAAATTGCAGTTCCAGAGGACAGAATTTCAGGAGCATAATCAAATTTGGGATTGATTTTCCTTGGTGTGGAGTTCTAGCTCCAGACGGTTAACTCGATGTTTCTTGTGACAGGTCTGGTGTTGGTGCACCTGTGATTGGTGAGATCGATGGGGAATACTGACATGACAGTCGACGAAATACCTTGGAGTGGTGTCTGCCAGTGATTGATGCCAAAAATAAGAGTGGCAGCCTGGAGTTTAGCATTGCTGGACAGCCCAATGACTTCTTCCCTGTTCAAGTTTCCTTCATCTCCAAAAAAAATTACTGCAATATACAGGTAACCCATTTTAATAGAGTGCATATATGGGGAAAGCACTAAGGTAGATGCTGGATAGATAGCATGGCTTAGCAGTACAAAATCATATGCATATATCCCCAGCATATGCTGTTTCTGACTTGTATGATCGTGTTCAATTCCCTGCTTACCTCAGTTTTCCTCTCAAAGAATTCAATCTGCATATGTATAAAAGTACTTATGGATTATATAATGTTCAAGATTTATTTTATTTATTTGAAAGGCAGAGTTACTAAGGAGAGATCTTGGGCTGGCACCGTGGCTCACTTGGTTAATCCTCTGCCTGTGGCACCGGCATCCCATGTGGGTGCCGGGTTCTAGTCCCAGTTGCTCCTCTTCCAGTCCAGCTCTCTGCTGTGGCCCGGGAAAGCAGTGGAGGATGGTCCAAGTGCTTGGGCCCCTGCACCCGCATGGGAGACCTGGAGGAAGCACCTGGCTCCTGGCTTCGGATCGGCGCAGCGCGCTGGCCGTAGAAGCCATTTGTGGGGGTGAACCAACAGAAGGAAGACCTTTATCTCTGTCTCTCTCTCACTGTCTCTGTCAAATAAATTTTTTAAAAAATTAAAGAAAAAAAAAGAGATCTTCCATTCACTGGCTCACTTTTCAAATGCCCACAATAGCCCAGGCTGGGCCAGGCTGAAGCTAGGAGCCTTGAACTCCTGGTTGCCACATGGAGTTAGGGGGTCAAGGACTTGGACCAGCTTTTGCTACTTTCCCAGGTGCTTAACAGGGAGCTGGATCAGACTCAAAATGGTACTCATTTGGGATACTGGCATTGCAGGTAACAGCTGAACCCACTGCCACAAATACCAGCCCCAGTTGCCTGTTTTTTTAACCTTTTCTTTTTTTTTTTTTTTTAAAGATTTATTTATTTGAAAGAGCTACACAGAGAGAGAGAGGAGAGACAGATCTTCCATCCACTGATTCACTCCCCAAATGGCTGCAATAGTTGGGGCTGGGCCAGGCTGAAACCAGGAGAGCCAGGAGCTTCTTCCAGGTCTCCCAAGTGGGCAGGGGGCCAAGGACTTGGGCCATCCTCCACTGCTCTCCCAGGCTACTAGCAGGGAGCTGAATTGGAAGTGGAACAGCTGGGACTCAAACTGGCACCCATTTGGGATGCCAGTGCTACAAACAGTGGCTTAACCTGCTGCATAACAGCGTGGCCACAACTTCTGATATTTTAAAATTCTTTTGCCAAAACACTTGGTTTGTTCACAAGAAATGAACAAAAGTTTTTTATTTAGAAGGTGAATTATTATAAAAGGTAAATATAAGTAAGTAGAAGCGATATGTTCAATTAATTATATCAATTACGTCACAGTTCCCTTCATTATTTCAAATAACCATGAGCTGGTTCTGTCATAGACGCTGCCGTCCAGGTGGGCAAGCATGAAGTAAATGTGTGAACTGTTCCTTTAGATAATTTTTAACTCAGTATTCCTCTAGGTTTTTTTCTCATTTTAATTTATTTGAAAGGCAGAAAAAAAGAAATCTCCCATCTGCTGGTCTATTCTCCAAATACCTACAACAACCAGGGCTGGGCTAGACCAAACTCAGAAACCTGGAATTCAGTTTGGGTCTCCCATATGAGTAGCAGGGATCCAGCTGTGTAAGCCATCATGCCATCCACAGTGTGCTTTAGCAGGAAGCTGGAATTGGGAACGGAGTCAGGTCTCAAACTCAGGCAGCCATCTGATATGGGATGCGGGCATACTATCAGTGTTGTAACTGCTGTGCCAAACACCTGCCTCTGTTCCTCCAGTTTTTGGAATTGTGTTACTGGAACCCATTTTTTGTTACTGTCTTCCCCTCTTTTTTTTTTTTTTAAAGATTTATTTATTGGGGCCAGCACTGTGCACAGTGGGTTAAAGCCATTCATTGCCTGTAGTGCCAGTATCCATATCAGTGCCAGTTGAGTACTGGCTGTTCCACTTCCAGTCCAGCTCCCTGCTAATGTGCCTGGGAAGGCAGTGAAAGATAGCCCAACTGCTTGGGTCTCTGCACCCATGTGGGAGACACAGAAGAAGCTCCTGGCTCCTGGCTTTTACCTGGCCCAGCTCCAGCCATTGTGGCCATTTAGGGAGTGAACCAGAGGATAGAAGATGTTTCTTTCTGTATCTCTTTCTCTCTCTGTGTAACTCTGCCTGTCAAATTAATATATAAATATTTTTTTTAAAGAATGAAGATTTATTTATTTATTTGACAGGCAGAGTTAGAGAAGGAGAGACAAAGAGATTTTCTCTCTGCTGATCACTGCCCAAATGGGCAAACAGCTGGGGCTGGGCCAGGCCAAATCCAGGAACCACAAGCTTCATCCAGGTCTCCCCTATGGATGGCAGGGGCCCAAGGACTTGGACCATCTTCTGTTGCTATCCCAGGTGCATTAACAGGGAGCTGGATAGGAAGTGGAACAGCTGGGACTCGGACAGGTGCCCAAATGGGATCAGGTGTTGTAGGCAGCAGCTTAACTTGCTGCATCACAATGCCAGTCTTATGTCCCCCCTCCTCCTTTTTTTTAAAGATTTATTTATTTATTTGAAAGTCAGAGTTAGAAAGAGAGGGGGGTGGTCTTCCATCCGCTGGTTCACTCACCAGATAGCCGCAACAGCTGGAGCTGCGCTAATCTTGGAGCCAGGAGCTTCTTCCAGGTCTCCCACGTGGGTGCAGGGGCCCAAGCACTTGGGCCATCTTCCACTGCTTTCCCAGGTCATAGCAGAGAACTGGATTGGAAGTGGAGCAGCCAGGTCTCGAACTGGCGCCCATATGGGATGCTGGCACTTCAGGCCAGGGCGTTAACCCGCTGCACCACAGCACCGGCCCCTAAAGATTTATTTATTTTATTTGAAAGTTAGAGTTACACAGAGAGAGGAGAGCTGGAGAGAGAGAAAGAGGTCTTCCATCCATCCCCAGTTGACCGCAGTTACCAGAGCTGTGCTGATCTGAAGCCAGGAGCTTCCTGTGGCTCTCCCACACTGGTTCAGGGGCCCAAGGACTTGGGCCATCTTCTACTGCTTTCCCGGGCCATAGCAGAGAGCTGGATCGGAAGTAGAGCAGCCGGGACTCGAACTAGTGTCCATATGGGATGCCAGCACTGCAGGCGGCAGCTTGGAAGTTATAGCTTCAGAGGAAGCTATTGGAAGCTATTAGAGGATTCCAAAGAACAGTTCTCTCTCTGTTAGTGGCATGACACCATCAGTATTGGGACCCATTTATCAAACTTATGACATTAGATAGAAACGGGTACATTTTTTCTGTTTGGGAACATTCAAAGATTAAGATAACACAATTGCTCTCTCAAAACCTCATTAGAGGGGCCAGCACAGTGGTGTAGTGGGTAAAGCCACCACCTCAGTGCCGGCATCCCATATGGGTGCTAGTTTGAGTCCCAGCTGCTCCACTTCCAATCCAGCTCTCTGCCATGGCCTGGAAAAGTAGTAGAAGATGGCCCAAGGCCTTGGGCCCCTGCACCCACGTGGTTTGACTCAGAGGAGGCTCCTGGCTCCTGGCTTCATATCAGTGCAGCTCCAGTCATTGTGGCTAATTGGAGAGTGAACCGGCAGATGGAAGACCTCTCTCTCTCTCTCTCTCTCTCTCTCTGCCTCTGCTTCTCTCTCTGTGTAACTTTGACTTTCAAATAAATAAATAAATCTTAAAAATAAAATTAAAAAAAAACTCATTAGGAATGCAGCATTTGGGGCCACTGGCATCCTGTATCAGAGTACTGGTTCAAACCCCAGCTGATCTGCTTCTGATCTGACTCCCTGCTAAAGTGCCTAGAAAACAGTAGAAGATAGCCCAAATACGTGGACCCCTGCCACCCATGTAGGACACTCAGATGGAACTCCTGGCTTTGGCCTAGCCCAGCTCTGATCATAATGGCCATTTGGGGAGTAAACCAGTAGATGAAAGAGAGTTCTGTTACTTGCCTTTCATAACATAAATTTAAGAAAGAAGGGCAGGCATTTGGTCTAGCAGTGAAGACACCTACATCACATGTTTGAGTAACTGAGTTTGCTGTTTGGCTCCACTTTTTTTTTTTTAAAGATTTTTTTTTTATTTATTTGAAAGGTAGAGTTATAGAGAGATAGTGAAGGACACACAGAGAGAGTGAAACTATCCAAAGCCAGGAGCTTCTTCTAGTCTCCCACATGGGTTCAGGAGTCCTTGGGCTATCCTCTGATGCATTAGCAGAGAGCTGGATGAGAAGTGGAGCAGCCAGGATTCAAACCAGCACCTATATGGGATGCCAGCAGTAGAAGATGGCCCAGGTCCTTGGGGTCCTGCATGCACACAGAAGACCCGGAAAAAGCTCCTGGCTTTGGCCTGGCCCAGCCCCTGTCCTTGTGGCCATAAGTTGGTTCACTCCCCAGATGGCCTCAAAGGCTGGAGCTGGACAGACTGAAGCCAAGAGCCAGGAGCTTCTTCTGGGTCTCCCACATGGGTAGCAGGGACCCAAGTACTTGGGCAATCTTCAGCTGCTTTTTATAAGCCATTAGCAGGGAGCTGGATCAGAAGTGGAGCAGCCAAGACAGAAACCAACGACCATATGAGATGTCAGCATTGCAGATGGAGGCTTTAGCCACTACACAATAACACAGGCCCCTCTGTTTTTGTAAAAAGAAAGAAAAAAAAATCCTCATTAGAAAATATGAAGTAATGATTTTCCTTTTTTAATATTTTATTTGAGTGGTAGAGTTAAAGAGAGAGGGAGAGACAAGGAGAGCACCAGGTGCAGTGTGTTTCTCCCCTGTTGAGGTCTTATTTTATAATTTTTCTCATGTTACTGCCTAGGACAGTGCGAAACACAAAGTAAATTCAATAAACTTGACTGAATGGAGTTCCATGTCTTTGCTTCATTTCTTCAAATGCCTTCTAAATGAAATCTCTGAATCACACAGTGGAGAAAATAAATAGCGAGCACCCACGCACCCACGCTCGGCTCTGTTCCATCAACCCGCGCCCACGTGGGAGGCCGTCGCCGCGGGCGGAGCATCAGCCTACTGCACAGCGCTGGCCCCACAATCCTTATTTTAAATACGGCCCCTTCCTTCTGTCCTCAGAGGTGCTCCTGCCCTGAGCCTCCGCGGTCAGAGCTGTCCATCTTCTGCTGGGGCAAGGAGGTAGGTGGGGAAGTTTCTGGGACCCCACTCCGTCCACAGCCCTTCACCAGGCCTGCTCTCAGCCGCACATGGCACACCTGCCATCAGAAACGCCTGGCACTTTCCATTCCTGGCACTTTCTAGGGTTCCAGTGTCCAA